AGCAGCTTCACCGACATCTACGGCCTGCCCCAGTACGACAAGCCGGACGCGGCGGAGTGCAGCCAGCTTTTGCGCTTTGATCTGATTCCCTTCGACTCCCTGGGACGAGAGGCCCCCTTCTCCGAACCCCAGGTTCCCCCGGGCTTCCACAAGCAGAGGCGCTCCCTGGACACGCCCCAGTCCCTGGCGTCCCTGTCCTCCCGCTCCTCCCTGTCCTCCCTGTCTCCCCCGAGCTCGCCCCTAGACACGCCCTTCCTCCCACCCTCTCGGGACTCGCCCCTGGCCCCGCTGGGGGACAATTTGGAGGTGCCCGGCCTGGGCACCCTAGACAGACTACGGGCTCAGGCCTCGGCTCTGGGAGAGGAAGACTTGCAGGGCGCAGCGTCCCTGCCACCACCGAATGCATTCCCTGGGGATGGGGAAGGACCTCGCGAGCGAGGACCCCAAGTGGCAGCCATCGCCACTGGTACAAGTAAGTATGGACACGTCCTGTGGGTCTCCCGGGCCCTGGGAGGAAGGCTTCTGATTCAGGGAAGAAATCGTGTGTGAGGGCACGATGACTCTTCAGTGACAGCGAGCTTTAAGTTCGGGACCATTGAGAGGACGCGGAGGGGCACAGGCCCGCTGTCACGTGGGGCCTTCCTGCTCCGTCCTGGAAAGGCCATTGAAATTGGCATAGGAGTCTTGCCCAGGAGTTCGGCTTGTTGTCAGCATGTGCTCGATCGCTGAAGACGAGAAGAGCCACACCGTCTTCTACACTCAGAGGCAGATAGAGAGGTGCCAGGGCCCAGCTGCAGGGAAATCTCTCCTTCCCTTGTCTTTATGACTTCATCTCCTCATCCTGCGTCCTTGTAGTTTTCAAGGCTGTAGTTCTGTCGAGAGTGGAAGTGAAAATAATTGGCATCGTTTCAAAAGCTGTGCCGGTGAGCAGCAGTCATTTCTCCCAGATCCATTTCTCTGGTGGAATTCAAACCGAGAAACGGAGCCACGGGGAGCTTCCGCCATTCAGTCGCTGGTAATGCCGCTCCTGGCGGGAGGTGCTTCTGGCAGCCAGTGGGCAGAGACCAGGATGCAGCTCTGCCCTGCAGGGCGGGGTGCCCCACGGCAGAGAGAGAGTGGTCCAGCCCAGACGGCAGTAGTGCTGAGGCCGAGGTCCTGGCCGCATACTATTGAGTAGTTTAGCAGCAAAGGGTAGAAATCAAACGTGAATACAGAACCAGGCTGTGTCGTGGGAACAGTGTCGGACACCCGGCTTCTGAGCCCTGCCTGGTGGACTTGCCAGGTGGGTGACTTTGAGCACATCCCTGGACGTGGCTGAGTCGTGGCTTCCCCGCCTTTGAATGAGGTGATCTTCATGGGCTCTTCCATTCACCACCATTCTACCCATGAGTTTTTTTGCACATAACCATGCTGGTTACTACATATACATCTATATATATAAAAGCCTAAGGAACCAGCTGACCGACCGACTAGCTGGTAGCTATGCTGCACACTGCCCACAGGGGGCAGACGAGTGACAGCAGCTTGGTAGAGTGCCCTCTTACACTCTGGGACCCCTCAGGGGATGTTGGACTGCCAGTTTGGGCCTGATCCCCACAGGCCAGGCTGAGGGATCCCACCTGCTGGAGGGACCCCACTCACTCCGCAGACGCCCTTTGAGCCCTGGCACCGCCCCTGGTGCGGCCGGCCGGGGAGGGACCGTGGGAGATTGGCTCCAAGGTGTGTCCAGCCCATCTCGCCCAGTCCTGCCCCACCAGCCACCTTCTAATTAATTTCCTTTCAATGTGCACAAATCCATGCACCAGGCCTCTAGTATAAAATAATAACCTCTGTTAACTCTTTACATATTTAACCAGAGACTCATTCTGTTCTGAGGCAGCCCCGGGGCTTTTTGGCATCTATCATTTTATCTTCCCCTCAGTGTTTGCAAACACACCTCTGCTGTCCTCAGACGCACTTTTTCTGTCATTTACATAAACAGGTGATCTTCATGCGCTTTGTTCTTTATAACCACAGGTTCAGGGCTCCGTGTTTACTCCTTTCATTTCCAAAAGAAAATTCAAAATAAGGACTGCAGTGCACATCTGTTGTTCCTGAAGCTTACTGTCTCAGTGCCCCTGCCCCCATGCCAACTCCTCTTTAAAGGCTGAGGCATGAGAGTATCAGTCTCATTCTGCAGGGATCCACACGGGGCCCAAGGGCCCTTCTGGGTCAGGGGAAAGACAGGGTGGGAAAGAGAAGAGCCGACTTAATTTCTGATTCTGATTTCTTAGTTCTTCCCTTCCCGTTTGTGGCCTACAGTACAATGCTTCCAGCTTAGACCGAAAGGTTGTTGCTCATGCTGTGGTCAGTTACTGCCACCTGGTGGTGTATTCCTGCATGACACTGTCAGTTGACATCCTTACAAACTAGAAATGACCCAGTGAAGGGGTCCTGGTGGGTGCCCCCAGAGGGCTGGGCTGGGTAACCAGTTTCAGGCAAGGATACGGGTGACTCCTTGCTTCCCTTGGTGCTTGTGGACATGCCCGATCTCAGAGTCATTGTCGCTTCGCAAAGTTGGGGAGGACCTTAGCACTCGTTACGTTACCCTGCCCTTCATTTCTGAAAGCCAAGGTCACATAGTTCCCTCCGACTTTCCGTGCCAGTCTCGCTAAGTACAGTCTAAGTTTGACCTCAAGCAAGTTTTAGTTAGATAAAATTTTAGGAAGATAAAATTCAAAATTGCCCAAGCATACAAGGCAAGCCCGAGGATATAATATTCTCTGTTACGTTTCAAACTAGTTTGAAGGAACAAGGTGGTACAGAGAAGTACGGCAACAGATTGTAATCTGTAACATTTTTTACATTTTTGCTACAGTTTTATCTTCCCTGAATTTCAGAAGTCCAATGTGTCATCATTTTGAAATACTTTCCATTTTTTCTTTCCCATTGGCATTTGCTAATCTAAATCCATGAACTCCTTGACTTTGCTTATCTGTTTGTTCCTTGATGTTTTTATTATATTCATACTTTGTTTAAAATTGTTGGCCCGAATTCTGCCGTTTTTTCACTTTGCTCTTTTTTATCTCTCTTTCTCATGCGACACGACAGAAGCGCTCACTGTAAGTGACCTTGGATTCTCCTTCATTCACCTTGTTGGTCAGGCTGTGGCACATCTTCACCCAGTGAACCCGTGTATTCAGGATGCTCGGGGGGTGGGCAAGGGGCACAGCTCATAGTTGTACTTTCATGAAGTTCAGCAATTGCCATGATTATGATTTCAGCATTAATATCCATGCCTACTAAAGTTGTGTAAGGAAGAACTTTTCTAAAAGCTTGAAGTCTTTATTCTTCTATATATTTCCCCCCAGACTTTTAAAAAAATATAATTTATATATATACATTTTTAATGCTTTTTTAAATTGATTTCAGAGAGAGGAAGGGGGAGAGAGAGAGAAAGAAACATCAATGATGAGAGAGAATCATCAATCGGCTGCCTCCTGCTCGCCCCCCATGGGACCGAGCCCACGACCTGGGCCTGTGTCCTGACCAGGAATTGAACCCTGACCTCCTGGTTCATGGGTCGATGCTCAACCAGTGAACCACACCAGCTGGGCTCCCCCAGATTTTTAATGGCTTTCATGATTTTAATATGCTAAGTGGCAGCTTTGCTCACAGTGTGATTTTCATTATCTTTTCTTTTTGTCAAGTAGTGTTGATGTCCTTAGGTCTCAGTGTCTGTCTGTCTGTCTGTCATGATGAAAAGGTGAAATCTAGAAAATGTTCAGAAGATGGTTTATCCCTGACCTCAGGGGCATTGCTCCCCTGGCCCATCTCGCTGCACATCTGTTGCCTTGCAGTCTGAGGGCGGGCTGCTGGGTCCGACGGGAGGGGGCTGCTGTGCGCTCTCCTCCCCCAG